CCGCAGCTGGATCGCAAACCTCTGAATGAAAGCGAAAAAGCTATAGTTGAAGCCTTTGAGAACGAAGAATTTTTTGACAAATGGATCAGCTTGCTTCTAATTGAAAAACATGACAGTAAGGAAGTGAATGATAATACGGTGTGGATGATAAAAGTGAGTTTTAACGAAATTCCTTTAAAAATTATAAATCGAAGTTGGATGGAATTTTTGCAGTACCTCCTAAGGGATTTTCCCGACAGCACTATCATATATGACAAAGTCACCAAAACTTTAGCTGGACTGATGAAAAGTAGAAAGGTATCTTAGCAAAATTTGTCATTTCCATCCATGGAAAAATTGTTTACAGAGAGCTGAACAAAGGTTGGCATCAGAAATTTTCACCGGGGTTTGCAAAGGCACAAAATATATTGGTTTCAAAAGACTGAATGAGTTGTGGAGTTGGTTAGCTCCAGCTGTTGATCGTTTGTATGACCATATGAATGCGGATGCGTATTCGTCGTGGCAGAGCTGTATCACGGACGTGAGTACACTCAGAAATTAATGAACTGTAGATTTGACGGCGAACACAGTGCCCCTACGGTGAAGACAACAATCTCGCGAAATAAATATCACGCCCGTGTCAACGCGCACGTAAAAAGTCGGGCCCTTCAAACTGGTCATAGATTGGGCAGGTTTTTATGCCCGAATGTTGTTGGCAGCGCAAAAACACACCTTGACCGCCGAACCTACCAAGAGCCATACTTCGATCTATCTCAAATCGCTAGTCCTAATAGGTACTCCAACGTGATGACACCAGAAGATTTTGGTGGCTGATCGAACGTCTTCTTGCTAGTATGACACGGCCGGCACCTACAGCTTGGCATCAGGGAATGTAAGTGATCAGTTTCACAAAGCCAAGAGCAATGGTAGCAAAATTTCAGTCGCTCCCAAATCTTATTAGCCACTGATTGGCGCGAGACCGAAACACGCAAGAGAATCTGCCACATTGCTTGGAAAAGTCTGCCCAAAGCTACTATTGAAACGCAACGTTTGGGAATATCAGCGTAAGCATTTCCTTTTTACTCATCTGGCAACTGAATGTGAACCACTTATACTATTATGATCGAAAAATCCACTTTGATCACAACGATAGTATTGTTACGGTAACACATTTATGTGTACCTATGAAGCCATATAAAGTGAAACATATGGAGCAATAAGGCAAATCAGCGTCAAATAAATTTTCCTCTCACAGTATACCTACCGTACTCAAAAGAGGGTGCCCTACCATGTAACTGTAGGCGTCATTTTCATAGTCATCGCATGGATATTCAACTCCCTTCTTTAGATTTTGATGTAGGTGTTTGGCTCTGGAATACAGGGTGTCCCAAAAGTCCTGTAGCCTAGTGTTTTATTAATAAAAAAGAGTATGGAACAACGTAGAGATATAAAGTTTGGCACACACATTACTCAAACGTTAACAAATGCAATGCAAAACTCAAATTCTGTAAAAGTTTCTTGTCAACGGAAGCCTTCAAACTGTTGGCGATTGCCACTGCCGCATGGCGCAGGTAGTCATCATCAGTTTCGTCTCACGCCTTCACGGAATGTCCGATATGATAGAACAAGCCTCCAGCTATAACATGCTATAAAGAAAATTTTTTGCAGAAGTTAGGGTTGAAATTATAGGAATTTTAAATTGCATGAGTAGACCTCATGCTGACGGTTTTGAACACAATCAAAACAGAAAACCAGCTACAGTGTGTTCTGAAACCAAGTTCGTCATTCAAGT